AGCAGTTTTGCATATATCAGATTTGAGAAAGTATATTATAACCTTTCGGCCGACTTGAATCAAGTCTATAGGATTCAGTTTGAATGGTATTAGGTGAATTGTCATTTAATCAGTGGAAATTATGGTTTCTTACTGTTGTTTATAGTGCTAATATGTGTCTGATCAACACATTCCTTTGACTCTTTTTACCATTTATTGTTCTTTCTTGTGTCTTGTAGGTTTCTTTCATAGAGGTTTTAATCAACACTTTCTCACAGTCTGTGCTCTGATATGCCTATTATCCCCTGTAACCGCAATCACCACAACCTCCCAGAACAAAGTGGAAATCGACAATGTAATCCAACGTCTCAATTATGGCACAATTTTCAAATCCGAAGGTACCTTGCAGCTTTCCAGAGAATATTGGATACACACATTCCAGATCCCCATTCCAAGTGACATTGATATCCCAAAAGGTTTTACTGTTAATCAAAAGTCTTGTTCTAAACTTACTGATTGTCAGTTTCAGCAGAGTCTTTTAGATCAAGTTCATGGTGTTCAATTAGAACTTTATTCTCATGTTACCAAAACCTTAAAGTTCATCAAAAGTGTTATTCCTTTTCACAAATCAAACAATTCAAAGAAACAACATAAGGCTCTTCTACCTTTCATTGGTTCTCTATCAAAAGGACTTTTTGGAACAGCAACAATGGATGATGTGAACATTTTGGCCTCTCATATTAATTCTTTGACAAAAACAACACAAAATATTGCTAATGCTTTAAAACAACATGGTGCGCACATGTCATCATATATGGCTACTGCAAACAAGCGCATGGATAATTTACAATTAGGAATCTCTAATAACTACAAAGCAATCTCTACAATTTCAAAAACATTTTTCTTTGATCTTCAACATTTGAAAATGGTTCTTGCCAATACCTCCAAAATTTTGACAAAACAAATTGATCTTTCTAGTAAACTCAGAGCAGAAATTGACAATTTGCATTCCTCAATACTTGCACTCATTCAAGGCAAACTCACACCTACATTTTTGCCAAAATCTACTTTGCACAAAACTATTGGTGAGATTCAGAGAATATTATCCAAAACTCAACCAAACTTTTACATTTCACAAACTCAAATTCCCTGGTATTATCAACATGCTGACTTCTTTTATGCAAGAATGAAACACTCACTGTACATAACTGTTAAATTCCCAATTACATCACACCAGGAACCATTGCATCTGTACAAAGTCATTTCATATCCTGTACCCATCAATTCCACTGCATCTCATGCTACAAACATTTTACATTTACCAACATACTTTGCAGTTACATCACACCAACAATTCTACACTACATTTACAACTGCAGATCTGGAAACATGTCAAAATGAACCATCAAACATTCACTGTAACTTCAACAAGGCATTAACTCCAGTAACATCACCTTCATGTACTATTGGCCTTTTTGCCAATAACAAAAAGTGGATAAAAGATTTTTGTATCTTTAGGTATTTTCAGGATATTTTAAAGCCTGACATTATTGAACTTTCCAGTACATCTGTTCTTCTTTTTAATAGTTGGAATATTGAACTTACATGCCCAAAGAAACAAGAAATTTTGCCAGGATGTAAATTTTGTATTTTGAATGTTCCATGCAAATGTACATTAACAACAAAAGATCTCTATTACTCCCCAAAACTGATTGATTGTCATAAGTCTTTAAATTTAAACATTTCACTAGCTCATCCTGTAAATTTGGCACTTCTTCATGAATTCTTTGATGATTCTAAATTGCAATCAATTTTAGGAGACACAACTTTTGCAGAATCTGTCAAAGTAAATCTACCAAATTTCAAATTGTATGCTCACAATTACAATCAATTTTTGGCTAATGACAACAAAGCACATCTCAACTTATCTAAAATGGTTAAAGCTGCAAAGAAAGATGAACTTGTATTTCAGTCATTAACTGAACCTTTGCTTGAAGGTAATATCCAAATCAATTCCTCCTGGCCCAGTGTAAGTGATATTATTGACTTTGTTGCTCTTGCTATTTCTATTATTGCAATTTTTGGTGTCATTTTTACATTTTTGAAAGTTCGAAAGTTACTAGCTATAATTGCCATTTTACAAACAACAGCTCCTGTTAAATCTGAATCTCAAATCCCCTCATTCATTTACAGAGCATTGTCTACTCCTACACCTGCTCACTCTGATTTTGATTTGTTAATTCAAAATTTTTCTTGGAATCATGCCTCTGTTTTAATGAATGCAATTGTGGTTTTGTTATTGCTGTTTTGTTTCGTGTATAATTTTTATTTGCAAAGAAAAAACAGATTTACACAAATTGTCATTGAATTAACAACTGGTGGTGAGTGTATTTTTATACCTGTTCTAAATCTGCCACTATGTCCATCATTTTGGAAAATTGTACCACCTACAGACATTTTTCACATTGATGTTACTACAGTACCATTTGCTTCTACTATGAAATTTGATTGGATTGGTTTTAATATCACAAACATTTCTGGTACCCGGACTATCAATGTAAAATCAAAAGTATCCTTAGATTTTTTTCTCTGCTCTCAAAGCAAAGCGTATTACTGAACAACCATATGATGTTCACATTTTGGTATCACATCATAATGTTTATCAATCCTTGCCACATCATGGTACATATATTGTTGATACACTGAATCCTAAAGAACATTTGCCATAATTTGATTTGTTTTCCACGTACAAGATCATAACATTTTTTTTTTCTTTCTGCACATTCACTTGGAACTGTCAAGATTTTTGTTGTGCATAAAATGTGTTTTGTGGAGTTGTAAAGAAATAATATGAATGAAATATTATAGAATAAAATAACACCTTTTGTATTTTGCCAGAAAATAATCTATGAGATTATTGTTATTTCTCTTCTTGCTGCAGCTGTACATATCTGTAAATACTCAATTTGTTTGTCATTTTTAATTTGAAAATATCCTTGCCTTCATTGTATTCTTTTTACAAGAAAACATGCATCTTACAAATGTTTTTATCATTTGTATTGTCTTGAATTTGATGTCTATGCATAAATGTTTGTTTTTAATGATTTCTTGCACATGTATTTGTTTGAATATGTAGTGAGCCTTTGTATGTTTTCTTGTGAATAAATCTAGTGTATATATAGGTTATATAAAACAAAAAAAAAAAGAAAAAAAAAGAAATGTATAATAATCAAAAACAACATGATGAACAAATTTTTTATTTGCTTTGAGGACAAAGCTTTTGTGGGCAAGGGGGGAGACTGTTATAGATAAGTTTAACTTGATAAAGTCTAAACTTTTAATGTAACAGGTTATATCGCATGAAATTTCACTTATGAAATTTAATGAAATTTTTACTTTTGTTTTAAATCATATTTCACTTCATTTTAAATATGCAAATTTAATTACATTTTATTTTAAGTGTTCAAATTAATTCAATATCAAATAATCAATTTAATATGTTTTGAATGATCACTCTCTTAGATTTGAGTATAAATTTACATAGAAATATATGTGTTATTTAGCAAATTCAGTTTCATTTACATCAGCAATTCTTTTGATTTTGGCATGTTTTGTACTCAATTGCCATGTCACTGGACATCTAACAGCTGTTTTAACCTTTAGGTAAATAAGAAAATTCTTTCCAATTTCGGCCTCTTTTGAAATAAATTCTTTCGAAGATTGAGTTGACACATCGGAACTTTTTATAGATAAAATTATTTACTTTCACCATCGGTCAGCTTAATCCTTTCTTTGTTAATAACTCTTTTCTCGGAAACTAGGTAATTGACTTTAACACTTTTCGCTGTTTTGTTAACATAAGTAATTAGTGTCAACTCATCTAAGAAATTCTGCAAAAAAATTAGCTTAAGGACATCGAAATCAAGCTTCCTGATTGGTCATTGAGAGCAATTCCGAATTAAGCCGGGTGGAAAGCGAATTCATGAAATTCACTTTCCATTCGATGCTTAAAGAATAAAGAAGTACATTTAATTTATAGGAATTTGTTTCTCTTTTCCATCAGGTAAGCTTGAATAAATTTATTTTGGTATTTTCAGTAAATTTTCATTCAAATATTGTTTTTATGCTCTTTTGATGAATTCAATAGATTTTATGTTTTATATTCTGAATGGGCAAACATTCTATTATTTTTAACTTTTTGGTGAACTTTGAGTTTGTCACTTTATTCATAATTTTAGAATTGTATGACTTTCTTACCTTTAACTTGTTTGCATACTTGTTTGATACTGATTTATTTTTACTTAATGTGTTTTGTATTGTTTGTTAAAATTGTGATTAATTAATTGAAATTTTTGTGCAAAGTTTCTTAATTTGATTCTTTGAAATCTCTTTTTATAAATTTGAACTTCCCGCGCTGATATTGTTAAACCTGTAGTGAACTCTTCAATGTAGGAAGGTAAATTTGTTAAGCGATAGAAATTCGTCGGCTAAGTGTCAGAAACATTTTCAAGATGTTTTCTTCTTTATTATTGAATGACAATAGGTAACAGTTTGATTTCTGAATTTTATACATTTTATAAGCGTTATGCATAATTTGATTTCTTCGGAGTTATTCATCTTTAGTTTATAAGCATGAAACAATCATACCTTCTCTCATCGAGTTTACTACAGGGTGTATCGAAATTTGTTAACTTGTGTTTTTTTCACTTTCCATTCGATGCTTAAAGAATAAAGAAGTACATTTAATTTATAGGAATTTGTTTCTCTTTTCCATCAGATATAGCACCCAGTAGAAAGCCGAGTGGCGTACTACAAGCTAATTCCCCAGACATTCACACGATACAAAAGTGTGCGTGAAATATATATATATATATATATATATATATATATATATATATATATATATATATATATATATATATATATATATATATATATATATATTAAAGTCTTCGGATTATTGTTTTAATCAGTGTCATTTCATACTATGACAATAATATCCCATGCTATTTTGTACCTACGTTTGGTTCGTAGTATTAAAGATGTCTTGTACTTTTCCTTTGATGGTCATAGATGTAAAAACATTTGAAGAAGACTCTTGCGTCATGGGTAACTCCACAATCTCAACCAATTTATAACATTCGTGATCTACAATTATTATTTTTAATCAATATCAATATCAATAAACGCTGAAAAAGAATGAAAAACAAATAAAGGAGGTCATAACCTTTGATTGATGATTAGTAGATTGTATGTTGTTTTACGCGCTATTCGAAAATAGTTCACTCATCTTGACACGTCACCATATACCGATGAAGAGCTTAATTAAGATTTAGACCTATACTCGGCACTCAGGGCCATTGAGTAGTGCGGGTTCTTAATCGTGCCAACGCCTACCGTTACACAGGGCCTCAGTTTTTAAGGGCTCATCCGAAAGACCCGCAACTTTCACTTCAAGTGCCGAGCACTTGGCGAAGGAACAGTTGCTACCTATTTTTTATCGACTGAGGTCATTCTCGGCCGTGATTCGAACACACGGCCTTCCGATCACGGAGCGAGAGTTCTTCTGACTGATCCGAGTACGGGAAAAGCAACTATGACGTCACACGAAAGCCTTTGCGAGGAATATACGATATAAATATTAAAAAAAATTCTGTTAACATTCAAGCAAAAATAATGATTGTGTTTCCTCTTTCACTTATTACCTCAAAGTAGGTCGACAATCATCTGTTCCATACAATAATAAATTTGACCGTGTAATCAAGTGTACTTTATGTATTATAACGTCACTGACTTGTTAGACTGTACGTGTTTCCACCTCTTGCTATGTGAATGTTGCCGCAACAGAGGAGTGGATCAATCTTTTTCACAATTTGTAAATATTGATATGAATTTTAAACTTTTGAAATATTTTCATACAAGATGATAAAGCACAACACATTGCACATAAAATTACACAACAACTGGCGATTTTAATAATGTTTTAGCATCTTATTAATAGGGATTATGACGTAGTCAATTGTGTCATGTGACTTGTCCTGCACCCCCTTAAATTTCATAAATATTAACCGTCATGGGAGCTCATTGTATTAACATACAGCGTTTTTATCTCGATTAAGTCGTGTTTAACAATGTCGTGTGCAATACCGGGGTAAGCTTCACCTTTCGACATTTCTAGTTAATTATTAAAATAAAGGACTTCAGTTTAGTCTTAAGTTCCAAAATATTTGTTGATAGAATTTTTTCACAAATGAGTTTTTTGTTGTTAAAGTTGTCACAAAAAGTGCGTAATTTATTCAATCCATATCCAATGTGGAATAAAAATCTAGCTTTAAAATGTTAAACTCAATTCATATATTGTAAAATATTTGAAGAAATACATATTCTCATATATCTTTTTATGATATTTATAATTTTTATAATTTTTGTACTTAAAAATTCCCACTATGGACTCGGTAATGGGACCGTAAACATGTAGAATCTAAACTTCTTACAACGTGGTTCGGAGCAATATTTGTGTGGCGATATCTCTAAAATAAGTCAAGAAAGCTGTTGAAATAATGCCCTAAAATATGAAAGGCATTCTAAATTAGTAATGTACAAAATATGGGAAAAATATTCATTGACAGGATATTTTTCAGCTCAAGGTCCTGCTCCTCCTTAATGCAGGTGTCATAACAGTATTTCACTTGAGTTTCACGTCAAATCATGGCTGACGCAAAATAATTCCTTAATCTTCCCTTCCGATTCGGGCATTTTAACACGACACTGGAGCTGATTTTTTTATGAGATGAAAAGCAATATGTAAACTTCCTGTATTTACTAGATTCAGTATAATTTAGAGCGTGCTGACTTTTCTATGTACTGCATTTGAGTGGGAAGTGATTAGGTCCTGGACTTGATTTTCAAGCAGCTGCTCGTGCGTGCCGTGCTGGATGGCTATGTGCTTTTGGTACTAAAATCTTTACAAAGAATTGTTTTACAAGATCTATAAAGGAATCTTCTTAAAAGTTTGTTTTCAATTAATACCATCTACTCAAAGTTGCGCATTTTTGGTAAGAATATATAGCAAAATTTAATACTGTTGTTTAACCTTAAGAGGTAGATTTATGAAATTTAAGAGGTAGATTTATGCTGTTTAGCATATGCACTGTTTGACATAAAACATCATCAAAATTTATTGCGTTACAATCCACTTGACCTTTGGCCTACTTTGCAAAAATACTCAGGGCAGTTAATTTAATTTGTGTCTCTTTTGATTTTGAGAGGCAGGGATTTGATATTAGCATTTATATTGCATGGTTATGAGCTCAGGACACAGTTTTTGAAACTGAATGCTATACAGTAACCACACAAACTGAAATTTAAACACTTTGAAAATACATCGGGATCGGTAGACCAAAAGATTGCTATTCTCTCCTGTGATACGATAGCAGTTTGATGAATTCGAGGAATTGATGTAAAATAATAAATTACAAAAAAAATATATTAACTTCAATCTGCCTACATTGGATTTGTTCTCTATCCGCGGCATTCACATAGCAAGAGGTGGAAACACGTACCGTTAAACGGCTTTGACGAGAAACGTCGAATGACTTGCTTGATTGATTCTAAATGTATGATGAATGACATCGTACTGCTCCCACAGTTTATAACCGACACGTTTCACTCAAAGTCTCCTACCCGATGGGATAAGACATCAAAGCGAAAACCATTTGGGTGAATGCGTAACGTTGACATATAATATTATCCCCTATCAAAAGGAATTCCAAGAGTTATTTAATTTTTTTTTAAAAATTAAAGAAATGGGTCACTCAAAATATCTGACAGGTAAAATCAGGTGACAAGCAACCGACTAATGTAAGTTACGCACTGGTATTCAACATTCATTCAAGACCGTGTGTTTTGATCAATTAAATAACATTGGATTTTTAGACAGCTATTCATTGTCTGCAGATCTGAATTAAAGGTACTTACACACTCACAATTTAATGGGTTCAAAGTAGAACAAGAGGCCCATGGGCCACAACGCTCACCTGAGTAACTTTGGTTTTGCTGTTTTTCACCTGAACCCCCCCCCCCTCAATTGTAGTACTTATTGTGGCCCCGCCCTACCCCCAGGGGTCATGATTTGAACAATTAGAATCTACACTACCCAAGGATGCTTCCACAAAAGTTTCAGTCTTTCTGACCCAGTGGTTCTTGAGAAGAAGATTTATAAGATTTTTACTACATACATGTATTTCAATGTAAAACTTGGATTCCCTATTGTGGCCCCGCCCCACCCCCGGGGGTCATGATTTGACCAATTTAGAATCTACACTACCCCAGGATGCTTCCACATAAGTTTCAGTCTTTCTGGCCCAGTGGTTCTTGAGAAGAAGATTTTTAAAGATTTTTACTACATATTTCAATGTAAAACTTCGATTCCCTATTGTGGCCCCGCCCTACCCCCGGGGATCATGACTTGAACAATTTAGAATCTACACTACCCCAGGATGCTTCCACATAAGTTTCAGCTTTTCTGGCCCAGTGGTTTTGGAGAAGAAATTTTTTGAATACTTTTACTACACATTTCAATGTAAAACTTGGATTCCCTTTTGTGGCCACGACCTACCCCCGGGGTTATGATTTGAAAAAATCTGAATCTACACTACCCCAGGATGCTTCCACATAAGTTTCAGCCTTTCTAGCCCTGTGGTTCTTGAGAAGAAGATTTTTAAAGATTTTTACTTCATATTTCAATGTAAAACTTGGATTCCCTATTGTGGCCCCGCCCCACCCCCGGGGTCATGATTTGAACAATTTAGAATCTACACTACCCCAGGATGCTTCCACATAAATTTCAGCTTTTCTGGCCCATTGGCTCTTGAGAAGAAGATTTTTTAATGAAGCCACCCAATTTTTGTATTTTCTTGATTATCTCCCCTTTGAAGGGGACTTGGCCCTTCATTTTAAAAATTTAAACTTCCCTTTACCCAAGGATGCTTTGTACTAAGTTTGGCTAAAATTGGCCCAGTGGTTCTTGAGAAGAAGTTGAAAATGTGAAAAGTTTACAGACAGACGGACAGCTAGACGGACGGACGGACGATGGACAACTGGTGATCAGAAAAGCTCACTTGAGCTTTCAGCTCAAGTGAGCTAAAAACTGTATCGATTCTCACCGAAAAAAGTAAAAATTTATTCATAATCACAAAAATTGATATTACTTAAAAGTAAGTGGTTTCTGGAATTCACGGAATTAATAAAACCGTGAATATGGCAAATATCCACACCGCGAGTCCCCCCCCCCCACCCCCCCCCCCCCACCCATTACAGACTGCATTCCAAATATCAAACATTAAAATAAGTGATGCATTTGAATTCAATCTCATTAAAATTAGATGTTTCGAATCTGCAACAGTTTCTCAATCATCATACAACATCCAATATTGGGCCTTTTCAGACATTTAGCCAATAAAATTGCCGAAATTTTTGCTAATACAGTTTGGATATGTTTCGTTTTCGCAGTCAAAACTAAAATCCCGAGGACGGAATTTCGTATTAAACAAAACAAGGTGTATAGTTTGTTCTTTTTCGTTTTTCTTCATCAGAATAAAATGTTGGACTGGTCATTTTAAATTAGTTTATACCACAATTAACGTTAGACAGACTTCTGAGCATTAGAAATATAAAGATGTAGCCGTGGAATTGGAACTAGAATTGTACACAGAAGCTTGAATCTGACTGGCCAAATTTTTTATTCATTATTGAAAGGTCGCGCTGCCATGACCCTGTATTGTTTGAGAAGCGACGTCTAATTTTAATTAGATTACTGAATTGCACAAAAGAATCGGGATCCCTGTTCAATATGGCGGGTGAGATCGATCATTGTTTAAAGCTTGGTTAATGTATTCTATTTTAACTCTAATCAAGAATTAGCGCAATGTTTTCTGCGCTAAAGATGCTTAAATATGAAGCTCGCACTGGGTACATATTCATGTTCATTGAGGGCCGAACCTATTTTCTTTAGAGAAGTGGACAGGTTCGCCTACATCCACTTCTCTTCGCAAGCCTCCATGCTTTGATCCTGGAAAACCTGTGAAATTCGAACCGATGACGGCCTACACTTCAACCGACATTTCGTTTAAAATATACCTGAATGTAGGTAACAGACGTGTTATATTAACCATGCGCATTTTAACATAAATACACACAGCTGTCACAAGAAAACCAACCTTTACATATTGTTCATTCACTTTCACAAGTTCACAAATTCTGTGAAGACTTGCAAAGAGAAGTGGATGTAGGCGAAAGCCTGTCAACTTCCCTAAAGAAAATTGGTCGAACCTAAATAACTTAGGAACCCTTGAAATAGTATGGTCTGTTCAGAGGGCAGTTGTAAAATTCCATATATTTGAACAGGAAACCCATGAAGATTCTAATTCAATTCATCTCTTTTCTTAAATCCTCTTCACACAAAAATTAATTGAGCCAAATGAGAGATAACTGTTTAAACGTATATAAACGGCTGAAACTGTTACCAAAAAAAGCATAACCCGCGTTACCTGGTTGGGTATTTTTTCTTCAACAGCTGTAATCATTAATTCCCAAACTAACAATCCAAGAAAGCATTTTATAATTGCTCAATCAAAATTATTATACTTCTACTGATTTTATCCCTATATAACATAACATTAGATCGTTAGATATGACTAATTCCCTAGAAATCGTTATGAAATGGATTAATCCCCGTGCGTTAGTCAAGTGAGCTAATCCCTGCTTTGAAAGCTTATTCCCAGTTTTTCCGCAATCCTCTAGAGTTTGCTTTTACATTGGTATGATATGTGAATGGACTAATCCCCATGTGTTAGTTCAGTGAGCTACATGTAATCCCTGCATTGAAATCAGGCTATCTGAATCCTCTAAATTTTACGTTTGTATCGATTAATAAAACAGTTAAAAGAATATCATTAAGGGAGTTAGCAAGATTCCAGTTCCCTTCGCCTCGGGAAATAGTCCTGGCCTTGGGGAACTGGAAACTTGCTAACTCCCTCAATGATAATTATACTTTAACTGTATACTTACATTTGTAGCTCTCTGAAGAATAATACCTGCGTGGGCATGATTGACACGTTTTTTTATAGTGTGTTTGTACACGTGCGCCACCGATGTTGAATTCAGTGCATTTTTTACCTGCAATGAACATAATGATAATTAGAAGTTTACTCGGAGCTTGTAAGGTCTCTGCTATTTTTTTTTTAATTAAAACAAATAAACTGTTTAAGATTGAAATAACAGCAAACACAAAGATATTATAATATTCTTCCTACCAATTTGAATATACTAGTAAATTGAAATTTACATTTCTAAAGTCATTAACCCAATTGCTGTTATCATAAATCTTCAAATGTCGTACGAAGTCATCAGAGACTTTGCATTAAACTTACACATGATTTTTTTTTAGTGAAACACCATTTTTAAGATCTTTTCGTTATAATTGAGAATTTTAAGATATTTGAAAACACGCTTATATTGAGCTGCCCTGTGCAATGGCTACAAAAGCAAAGTTATTGTTCCATCAATTTTGTTAGAATTCAATCTTACGATCGAGTTTTAAAAGAAAAGGTTTAAATATTTAGATAATTTACAACACAGGACTTACATTTACAACGCTGAATAGGGTCTTAAATGGGGCAAAACGTAACAATTACATCAATTCGTTTATGGTAGTCAACTGATAAATTCCTTATAAACTTGATCTTATTACATCTGATAAACATGTAGCCTAATATTCGATACTTGCACATGTATAAATAAAGCAGCAGTTTTCATACCACACTGACACATAATATACATTGTGACTGTACAGTATTTCAAAAAAAGTATTACCGACTTGAAATAACGAGTATATTGCAATTGAAAAGTGTTAAAAAATCATGATTCACTGATAAGGAAATATAGAAATTTACCAAAAATTTTTATCCTTGGTGCGCATACTTCTATTGTGCCATTAGACCACGGATTGATAAGGCAATGGTACACGAAAGACGACTTATCTGTGCAGTTCTGAGAATACGTTTCACACTGCATCTCTTGTGCTCGTTTTTCCCATTCAGATTTGTTTCTTGGACAACCAAGGCCCTCTTTGACACTTTCAAGGGAATGATTGCATGCCCGTATCTGAAATAAAACGTCACTCCGTTACTATTTTTAATATCTTTAACATTCCTGACGTTCTCAAAGTAACACATTATCTAATAAATCATTATCAGATTATTAAAGTAGAGAGTAATTTGTGTTTTAATGATACTAGGGTAACTTAATTAATAAATTATAAATGACAATGTAAATGACAGTATTAAAAAAGCTGATTACAGCTGCCCTCCGAAATTGTAAACATGAAATGTTTTCAGGACAGCTCAGTAATATAATCTTCAACGTTAACATGATAAAGATGAAATCCATCTTGGTTCGTTCTCAGCTACAGTGAACCCTTTACACAGATACTGATGCCTGTGTTTCGGACACTTTCGCCTGTCCTCGTCAGAAGGGTGGCCAGCTGAAATAAGTAATATTAAAGTTTGTACATACATGTATATATAATGCATTAAAACAAATTCTTGGGAGGATACTTGATCGTTAAGCTATTCTAGACTAATACATCCTTTCTTTAACCCTTCAGCTTAGAAGGATTGTTTTGCTTTTAAATGTGTTCAAATTTTAAAGTGCATTTCAGTTTTAGTCTGATTACATGTTTTTATATAGTCAATTCAATATATATATATATATATATATATATATATATATATATATATATATATATATATATATATATATATATATATATATATATATAACAATATAAAAGGTTACTTACTCAAATGCAAATCTTATTTTGAGGAACTTTTTTCCAGGTAAAAGGATGTAACATATACTTATATCCTAAAGAAATTAATATTTATAGTGGTTATAATTTAACATTTTTCTCTATTGAATTTTTACAAATAGAAATATAATAAAATAGTTCATTTCTCATAAACTCTAATGATTTAGCATGAATTTTTTCTTTGTTAAGTCATAATACTGTTCTAGACGTCAAATGTATAGTGAAATCTGAGGATAGTTGTTTGACATTTTTTGTAGCTTAGGGAATTGTAAGAAATGACCTTTTTTCATAATTTATGAGGTAGGTAATCAACAACGCTTCACACCTGCATATTTTATGTATAGCGCTTTATGAAATAATTACGTTAATTTTTTTTTCGCTGAAAGCGGAAAATAATGTAACAGGAAGGATGTTAAACTGGTGTATTTACCTCTCCCCTGCATAGAAATTGCCTCCTGATTTCAGAAAATGTTGTTAGTTAAAATTCTTATGCTCTGGCCTGAAAAAAAATCAAAGGATCATTACAATTGGGACAGTTAACTAGAGGCCCATGGACTCAATATACAGTATGTTGATCTGAGACACATAAGCTCTGCTCTTCTTGAGATTTTTTTTTTTTTTTTTTTTTTTTTTGCTACATTGCAATAAAAAAAAACATATCCCAATATGGTGCCCCATCCTACACAACATGCATGGGGTCATGACTTAAACAAACTTGAATCTGTTTATGAATCCCATGGGCCATAATGTTTATCACACCTAAGCTCTTCTGTTCTTAAGAAAATTTTTTTTCTATACATAATAATTGCATTAAAAGATTTCCCCATATTGTGCCCCATCCTACACAACACCCTGGGGTAATGACTTGACCAAACTTGAATAATATGCACTATCAGTTAAATGTCTGCACAATAATATATATCTACATGTAACAATGCCTTTGCTGTTCTTGAGAATGTGATCTTTTTTTTAAATCTATATATTCACGCGTTGAACTTTATATACCCATTTGTGGCCCCGCCTTTATGCCTAAGGCCACGATTTTCCATTACCTGTGAACACTTACTTATTAATTTTTCTTCTGTATGATTTAAAACAACTTCGATCTGTTATTAGATTCCCATCATATTACCAGCGGAGGGGGGGGGGGGGGGTCATGAATAGAACAAATTTGAATCTACTCTACCATATCATTAAACTTGACCCTGCAGTTCTTCAATATATGCTCATGTACACATGTATGTAAAACTTTAATCCCTTTATGTGGCTGTAGACTACTTGCCTCCAGAGATCATGGTTTGAACAAACTTGCAATTAAATATTCACTACATGACTTTGCTGTTCTTGAGAAGGATACTTTTTTTGTTTAATCCTTAGCTATATATCCACACGTCAAACTCTGACACCCAATTGTGACCCTGCCTCTGAGACCATGATATTTGAACAAATTTAAATCTCCACTACTTGAGGATGATCAAATTATCATCAAATGAATTTAAAAAAAAAACATTTCTTACCTAACTAAAAAAATATGTAAGAATGAAAGGAATATTGATCCTAAAATATGATGAAAGTCCATATATCGCTTATTCTTCGTCAATGTCTTTTAAACAATTTGAATTATATCCGCCTTGACCTTTGATCTACTTTTTATTTAGACAGCCAATGAGAATTCGGGATCTGTTGTAGATAATTAACGTATGAGTGACAAAAATACCAACCTATGTTTTTTTTGTTATGTTTTAATTCGCAGACGTCTTAGTGATAAATCACGAACACACGGCTCAATCATTTATCTTCATCGCTGTTTACATGTACATGTTTGTTAGCCAGCTTTTATTTATTTATTTCTTTTTTTTAATTTTTTTTCCATGCACATCAAAATCTCTTTATAGACTAAATTATGTCTGTCTCTATTATAAGAAAGCATATTTTCAATGTATTTTCTTCAGGTTTTTGATAGCTGAAGACTGCAACCTATCGGTATTTGAATTATCAATTTTCCATCTATATTGTCACAGCCATGTCACCTAGTTTTGTGGAGTATTTCTCGATGATTGCATTTATCTGTGAAATAACAATCTTTTTAAATTATGTATTTAAGGCAGCATCTCGTAAATTAAACTTTTCCCGTACAGCAAACAACGAGAGTATCAGTATCTAAAGCACTTTTAATATATACTTTTTCCTTGTAAAGGCTTAAAAACATCTTTTACAGTTAATTTTTGCCAATGAAATTTTAGTTAGAAAGAGAAAACAAGGTACCGATATTGCAGTTCCGCACTCTGTAATCTGTTTTGGTTTCCCCGAGATATTTAAATGCTACGTCAGTGAGAGTTTTTACCAGCCAATGGGCGAAGCGCTTTAAATTTGTATATCGCGCACAGTGAAGGTTACTAGTCTAATCTCTTTGAGAATTATTTTCTACGTGGAGTCGAAGAGCAATGTTTGTAATGAATTTATATATACTTGTATTTTTTTTTTTTTTTTTTTGTCGATTCCTTTAAAACGTCGTATCGTTACAGGGTTTCCATACGTTATCATTTTTACTACTGTAGCAAATCTATATACTCTGTAATACTAGCCTTCGTGCAATATCACACTCACTGAGTAATCCTCATTAAAGAGCAGTGAAGCGGGTGAATGTATTGAAGTAAGAGTTATGCATCTTACAAATAAGAGGCCCATGGGCAACATCGCTCACCTGAGCACGTTGGGTAGAAAAATTAGAAATCAGTTTGGCATTGAAAAGATTATATAAGTGATTGCAAGTACCCCCCCCCCCCCTTGCGAGAAAGGGGGGTTATGATTTATTCACACATGAACCTACACTACCTGAGGATGCTCAAATATTTCATTGACTAATCATGGCTTTATAAGCCTTTTCTCTGCATGTTTGATCTTATATTGTGACCTTGTCCTACCCCCAAGGAACATGATTTGAGCAAATCTGAAGATACCTTACCTGAGGATGCTTTTGAATTAATATGACTAATCATGGATTTGCTATTCTTGGGAAGAAGATTTTTAACGATTTATCCTTTGTATTCTCATGTAAAAACTTTGATCACCAATTTTGGCCCCTCCCTTGGGGGTTATGATTTGAACAATCTTGAATGTAAACAACACCGAGAATGCTTCCATATAAGTATGTCTAATCATTGCTTTACTGTTCTTGATTAGATTTTTAAAGATTCTACATATGTGTACCTGCGTAAATATTTGATCGCCCATTGTGGTCCGTCCCAACCTTTGGGGTCATGATTTGAACAATCTTGAATTTACACTTTCTATGGACACTTCCACAGAAATATGACCAATCATGACTTTGCTGTTCATGTGAAGATTTTTTAAAGAACTTTCCTATATATTTCTATGTTAACCTTTGTTTCCCATAGTGACCCCACCCTAGCCCTTTCCACAGAAAGGTGGAAAAACCTAAAAAAAAAAAAAAAATAATAATAATGTCCAAATCCTGGAGTTTTCCAATGCTCGACCTTAAAACAACAAAAAGTTGGGGGGGGGGGGGGGAACCAGCATCTAAAAGAAAATTTACTATAGCAAACTAATACGTATGCTAAAAAAAGCCCCCCCCCCCCCCGCTTTCTACGGACCTGCAGGCATGCTTATGAAACCATCTTAGGACTAAGACATCTCTTCAGACGAACTTTCGACATATCGGTTTTTCTAATCTCTGTCCTACTATAAATTTAAGACGGAGACGAGGTTATCCCAAGACATATCTTAGGTGATCAACGAAGCGCTGGTGCCAGGAAAACAACTAGTAATTATTGAATGTACATTGTTTATGTAATTTAATCCAATTTTTGTAAAATATTAATTTCTTTTATGAATCAAATCAATATAGTTTACTTAACATTGTGCCGTGTCACAGTGCTGTATATCTGTATATTTAAGTATGTACCTGAATAAAGGAATACAGAGAAAGTAATAAATGAAAATTCATTCATTAATTGATGTAGTAATCATGTCGCAGGTTAAAACGTTCTCAAGTATTTTATTCAAACTCTTTTGTAATGCATATAAACATTATGTATACATGTGTAAAAATTACCATTTTGACAACTATTTTAGTTATATATATTTTTTTAAAATTATTTAAGAGAGAGAGAGGAGAGAGAGAGAGAGATCTATGTTGATTATACAGGGACAAACAACGACAAGAAATTATGGTTAGAAAATATATTTTATTCTTAATTTCCATCGGTCTCTATAGTCATGATAGTGTATGATAAGTTTAATGTTTTAGGGTAATGCTTCCCATAGTGGTGTTGCAATCTGGTATTCCCCCTTCAAAACTTTTTTTTCTCCTAATTTACTTATCCAGTGATACAAATATCTATGAATATAACAATGTATAAAGTTTCGTGTTTTTTTAATTTGTTTATTTCTTACTAGAGAGATTGTAGACAAGTATCTCTGTTATATATATTACAACTTAATATATGAAATCGGGATAAGAATGGACTAAATTCGTAATAGAAATCGATGAAAAAGCCCATTTACAGATTAAATTTACTAATACATATCATATGCGGATGCAAGCATTTCTTCCGTTTTCCGATCTCGGAGGGGGGGGGGGGGGTCCCCCACTCAAAAAAATTTTTAACTCGGATATTTTTTGACAGTCAAGGAAAACAAAACCCACCAACTTCTCCAAACCTGATAAACCTTTTCTTGTGTGTGTGTGTGGGGGGGGGGGGGGGAGGAGGGGGTTAAGTCGCTTGTCTTAACAAATAAACAGAATACGTTCCTGAATATGACTTTCCTAGCCATTTTACCAGGGGTCCATGTTGTCTAGGGGGTTAATTTACTATATACTTAATCATGTTAATACTAGTCTTTATAATAACTCCAAAAATCCCAGGGGACCGAACCCAGTGACCCCCCTATCCACTCCTTACATCTGCGCATGCATAATAATGGCATATGGACATCGGAACAATGTAATACATATATTTGTTTTACCAAAAAAAGAAAGAACGAAAACTGCTTAAAATGAAATTTACGACATCTTAATTTAAGATATCTCTAAGATACTTTCGTTTTACACCCTAAGACATATCTTAGGATATTCCTAAGATATGTCCTAAGTAATATATCCTACAACACGTCTTAAGACACATCTTAGGAAATTTTCATAATTATGCCTGCTGAAGATATTTAAGGAATGACTCTAATTCTTGGCCAAATTATTCGAGTATAACCTGGTTTGGGTAAGTTTACGCTTTATAATCCGCGAAGCGGATTATAAAAAAGCATAAACTGACCCAAACCAGGTTATACTAGAATAATTTGGCCAAGAATTGGAGTCATTCCTTATAATTTAATTTTAAAATCATTAAATAACTATGGGTGTAACATTTCGTTGCTTTTTATTAGTTCAAATTTGCCGCTCAATAATACAACCGTAATAACGGAAGTAACGGAAGTGATGGGAAGCGAAGGGAGGTAAAAACTGATACATAGGCCTAGCAGCCTTGTTGTTTGTTTACATGTGGTAAGAACAAACAAAATTAAATTATTTTCCTATATATTTCTTTGCACAACTTTGATCGCTCATTGTGACCCCACCCTAGCTTCAGTCAAGAAAAAGAAAAAAAGAAAAATGACTAAACATACCTGTATCACCACTACTAATCCCTTATTCACCTAAAAGTAGGTTCTATATAGTAATAAAATTTAATTTTGTTTGTATTCTAGCCTCTGATTGCTTAATATCCAAAAAGGAACACAAATTACTTCTGTATAACCTGGTTTGGTATGGGGACACCTCCCCACCTGACAACCAGCTGAATCATCTGTATCCATACAATCCTCTCATTTCCAGTCCTCGGGATTCATGGAAAATGCCAGATTTAATAAATGTACCTTTAACTTCAAACAATAATTCGATCTTACTACATGTAAACAAACAACAAGGCTGCTAGGCCTATGTATCAGTTTTTACCTCCCTTCGCTTCCAATCTCTTCCGTTACTTCCGTTACTACGGTTGTATTATGGAGCGGCAAATTTGAACTAATAAAAAGCAACGAAATTTTACACCCATAGTTGTTTAATGATTTTAAAATTAAATTATAAGGAATGACTCTAATTCTTTGCCAAATTATTCGAGTATGACCTGGTTTGGGTCAGTTTACGCTGTTTTATAATCCGCTTCGCGGATTATAAACTTAAGCGTAAACTTACCCAAACCAGGTTATACTCGAATAATTTGGCCAAGAATTAGAGTCATTCCTAAATAACAGTCTTACACCAACTCTCCTCTGAATTTCTTTTACTTCTGACTATACTTTATCTTGTTATTATTCGGTCTAGTTAATCAAATCGTACATGTATATTCATTTGGATCAAAGGACAAATATCCTGTCTGGTTATTAACAGTCATGCCATTCAATTAATGAAAGGGTGGAGACAAAAATTAAACCTAAAGCATCATACCTTCATGTGATATTCTCAGTGAAAACCAGGTTCCATCCATTTTACACTCAAGCTGATAACAAAATTAATTAAGACCCCAATTTTCAATAAAATATTCTTTAAGTTTATAGTTTTTCTCGTGTAGTATTAATATGTACAAGTCTGAAAAAAGATCTATTTAGAAGCCCACTCATAGTTCCACCCTCCCTTGTTTTAAGTGAGTCATACCGGTATTTACTTTTAAGATAAACGTGGTTTAGATGAAGACCAGTTGGTTGCCCCTCCTCCCCCTTTTAACCACTCAGATTTCTCATAACATTGCAGTACATCCGCCTTAATGCATTCCTATGTTTAAAAGGAAGTGAGTCAATCTATTTAAACCGTTATTTATCGTTCACGGAAATGGCCGATTAGTTACGATTGCCTATAATTTAAATTGTGAAATTCAGGGGGTTTCCACAATGTTTACCTAATAACCCCAGTCTATTTATTCGTATTCCCTTTAAACCAATACAATGATAGAGGGAATATTAGAGCTGGAACGGTGGTTCTTTACCAACCAACCTTTTACGAAACGCTTGTTTTGTAAGATCATTCTCTTATGCATTATTTAATTGATCGCTATTTGTTACATAGATCTGCACCTTTTGCATTTACATGTAATTACACATGGTTGGGAGGAGATATACATGTATTTCCAGAGTGTCTAGGATTTAGGGGATCAGTATGGAAAGGTAAGTCAAAATGGAATTGGGGGCGGTGGTGGTGGTGGGGGGTGGGGGGGGGGGAGCGGTTTCGAATCCTAGACTAATTTGTCGCATTTTCTTTTAACATTCTTATGAATAAATGACTACATCCGATACATAGAGGTCGCGTCATAGAGCCAACACTGACTGGGTAGCACGAGACTCGGATATGGTTTACATGTAACATCCCTAGAGAGAATACACATTTGTAAATTATGTAACTTCAATGAAATTTGCGATGAATTTCATCACTTATTTAAATGTACCGATGTATCTATAAAGAACTCTTGTGTTACAATATGTATTTACCAAATTATTTTCAATCTAATCCATGTGTTTTGAAATTTGAAATGCTTTATAACGTAACAAATATTAATCAAGTGAACTTAGCAAAATGTGTTTACTAAACCTTTGGATACTATAATAAATTATACACAGACGGTGTTCCAGGACTTTTTTTCCAAGGGAGTGGGGGGCTTCAGTATATACATTTAATAACTCTGCAAATTCCAGGGGGTCCGGATCCCCCCCCCCCCCGATCCGCGCATGATATTATAATTCAGAGAGTTGGCTCGCTTGGTTAATACATGTACTTAATAACACTCTGATATCCCTTCTTCAGGCATGTTAACATGTGATATTTCTGTTCTTAAACTTTGTACATATTTTATCTTTTCTGTACTGTTTTTCATTAATGAGATTAAGGTAGTATGGGATACCTCCACGTTCTGACGTATTTCCGTTTGAAGTATTGTTTTGATTTGCATGAGTGCTTATTATCGGGTCAAAATTTGTAGATACACCGTTGAAAAGAACACTCTGAAGCCTATTTCAATGCAAGTTCTCACAAGTCGGCATTTTAAGTAAAAACAGACAAAAAAATCGCAAGTATATAAATTTACTTATAATTGTACAACGGACATTTAAAAAAGCAAACCCCTGTAAAAGGTAGTTTCAACATTTCAACGTTTTGAACACTTCTAAGCAAAAGCTGTATTTCAATTGTTTGAGTAACTGTACAGCACCTTGTGTGCGGTGAGGCATGGATAAGTGCGATTACTTCACATTGTGCTGAATTATCACCAATCAATTATCACGTTAACCAGAGCTGGACTTTTTTGTTATTTAATTCAAGAAGTAACTGTTTGGTCACAAATCAGCTAGTTGTTGTATATAGTCCCAAAACGTTCAGATGAATGCAATTGCTCTGAACAAGACACGTCCTGGAAAGCGATTGTCCATGCATTGTTTTCAAAACCGCTCAAAGTTGAAAACTACAAAGTGCGATTTTTTTATGGTTGGGAAAAAATGCTCATCATTTCTAAAATAGCACCCAGGTTTTTTCAACCCTTGGAAAATAAAGAAGGATAACTCTTCCGCTCGGATCTTTTAATTCAAAAAATTTTAAATGCATTTTATATTTTCCATTTATATATATATTTTCAATTTGTTTATTTCACTTTGCTAACATATCAAGATACATTCTTATTGTAGACTTTCATGAAATTTTATCCATCTGTTTTCAAGAAATAAAGTTTTCCCAGTTTTTTACGCTTATTTTTTGTTGAAAATTAAAAAAAATACTAAGACATATTTCTTGTCATTTTTGTTTTTATAAACACTTTATATTAGCAAACGCCTGCCTATAATATTAAGCTTATGAAAAAAGATTTATGCAAGAAAAAAAGTCGTTTTTGTATTTCTCATTAAAATAATTAAAAAATTATTAAAATTACACTTTAATATACTGAAAGGTGGGGGTATTTCAAATCCTTCTAATTTGGGTACATAAATATGTAGGAGAAGTTTCGTTTGGTATCCCATATCACCTTAAGTTCATTGTCACGTGCCCTGTATGTAAGAATATGCTGCAAAATCGTTCAAGGATACATTGATTTTGCAATTATCTTGCGTATAATGAGAATTAATTTGCTGCAAACCATAGGATCACATTAAAATATAAAAAGACTTAATGCTCCACAAAGCAAGTTTAAATTAATCAAATTTAGTATTATAGGTATACACTAATACAAATCGCTGTTTGTTTACCTTGACGATGTAAATTCAACTCCACGTCAACTATTTCCACCTCTTAAACAGGAGAGTTCCTATCTCGAAAGAGGCATCTCTATAAAAAGTGAAAGAATTTGTAATTTTTGTAATTTTGGGGAAAAGGGTGAATCAGATGAGTTTCACCTTTTGTTCAGTCTTAATAATTTAAACGAGGAAGGTGTAAATTTTTACATCAGGATTTATGCAAAAATAGAAATACAATTAGTTTCTTTTTTCTGATCCCGGGTTAAGTATGTATATCGGATAAAGCAAATGCTGCAAAATTGTTATGTGATCAATTTTTTGAACAATGAAACAAAATCTTTATTTCATCACCTGTAAACGCTTGTTCATGTGTTTGTTCTTAAGGAGATCTTGTCTAGATCTATGAAGTCTAAGGGATTTTTGTTGCATGCATTTGTTTCCACATGTAGTAATGGACTCAATGTCCAATAAAATAAACCTCCAAACTGTTTAACTTTAGTTTTCAAATTAATTCAAAATATTAATTCATTTTGAAGAAACCCCTTTTTACATATATTTTAAAACGTTTGCATTAAATTCGTATGAATGTTCAGCGTAATAACCATTTGAACTGAAAACCAACAAAGTCATAAACGAAACGTGCATAATTTCTATCTACGGTAAATCTAAAAAAAAAAAAAAAAAAAAAAAAAAAAAAAAAAAAAAAAAAAAAGCAGTAAATGAGATAAACTGGATTCCTTCCAAAATCTGTTTTACTACAATATTATTACAGTTTTATTACAGTATCACTTTATTGCTTATAATCATATTTTATCTTTATAGGTTTATGGATATATTGTCAGGGAAGAAAAATCAGTTGAATTTGAATATAGTAAAAAAAAAAAAAAGAAAGAAAGAAAAAAAAAAACCTTGTTTAAAGGAAAGGCACCTGGGCCACTCTCGTCGCTTCGAGGGGCCATTCCATATAAAGTGGTGTATACATCTCGCATGATAAAAGTTTATCCTAGAAGTAAATTATCGGTTTTTAATGAATTTGTTCAGGACAGAATCAAGTCATTTCGGACCAAAATGGCATTCCGAAAACAAGAAAACCATTTTGTGACGATGTAGAGATCCCCCTAAAAATCATAAACTTCTGTTCAGATTTTGTATCATGTTTGTACTCTTGTGCTTCATGCAGGGCCTTGAATAAAATGGAAGTTTCAGGAAAACTCAGTGAATGTGCATGGTTAAGGTCTTATATATATATATATATATATATATATATATATATATATATATATATATATATATATATATATATATATATATATATATATATATATATATAATTCCATGATTTTTAGTGTCAACGAGGTATACTGTACCTGATATAATATAGGTGTATATATTATATTATACTTCTATGTAACTTACTTGAATTTGACTTCTGAGAAAAATTTGTTAAAAAATTGTTATCCTCTGAATGATGGATCCAAGTTTCAACTCTGGTCAACTTCCAGCTGCAGATATATAAAGAATAAAATCACAAATGAGGTAAGTTAAGTTTGACATTTTAAAGAATTTACATGTAAGCACAACACTTACATTTTTTTTTTAAATCTTGAACCGGCCTGACACACTAGATAAACCGACACCGTGTACACCTGTATGTTCTAAATTTTGAAATCACCATGTGGGTTCAGAAACGTGACATTTTCAAGTTTTTTATATGCTGTATATAGTACCATGTGAGAGATTATCATAATGACTAGATCGTGCATTTATACAAGCATGACTTTGAGTCATTGTAAACTTTCAAAAATAATTTTAAAAATGATCATTTCTTCATATGCTCTATCAAATAATTAATTCTTTTCAAGTACTTTGGGATGATTAAATGCTAAATGTATGTAAAAACAAATGTAAACATTATAGCCTCCCCACTTTCTTTTAAGATTTTTTTTTTTTTTTTTTTTTTTTTTTTTTTTGAAATCTTCAACTTCCAACCATCCCATGTAATACCCCCGCTCTGATGTGAACATATCCTCTCATGTTGACACGGAATTCATAGAAAAATGAATTCCACCATTTGGCATGCCTCAAGAAAGAGTGTAGTAAAATTTCAAGCATCTGCGATGAGTAGTTGCTGGGAAAACTACGACGGAAATTTGTTATGGACAGACGCAGGGATAAACAGGAAGTTGATATCAGATTCAAACAAAAATGAATCCCACCAAAGGGTATGCCTAAACAAAGAGTGAGTCGAAAATTTCATTCACGTCTGCGATGATTAGTTGCTGAGTTGCTGAGAAAACTGTGACGAAAATTTGTTACGAACAGACGCATAGATAAACAGGAAGTTGACATCGGATTGGAACAAAAATGAATCCCACCATATGGCATGACTAAACAAAGAGTGTGCTAAAATTTCATTCAGTTGCTGAGAAAACTGACAAAATTTTGTTACGGACGGACACACAGACAGACATACACACAAGGGTAAAACAGTATACCCCCCTCTCCTTCGGAGCGGGGTATAATTAATCATTGAGAGTGTCATTAGACATACGTGTGATGTTTTGTTATTTTAAATTACCGGATATTATTGTTTGACTGGTGCTCCTGTCCAAACAGTAACACCGTTTTCTATATAAATATCTCAAATATCACAGGTTTATCCATTCTAGAATTGGTCGATATACATCAAAATTTATGCACACGTGTGCATTATCTTCAGAATCACTGGTCATTTTTTGTCTATACCAGATCCTGAATTTTAATAATTTTTGCATGCTTGGTAATAATGTCAGACTAACTATGCATCACATTATTACGTCTTTAATAATGTCTTGTTTAGGGATTCTTGTGACATAAGCACGTGGTATCTGACAATATCTGGCTTACATTTGTAACCAGAAAGAAAGAAAATTGTTTTTAAAAAATAGGAATATCAAGAGAAGAAGTTCAGGTTACTCAGTATTTGTTAGATAAAAAAAAAATAATAAAAATATACTAAAAAAGAAAATAGCAAGAATTATATTATCTATCTAATTTGATAAATAAAGAAGAAGAATATAACATACTATGATCTGTCTCCTTAATCCTTTAAACAATACAGATTGTGAACAGGGGATATATATGTACAACACGGAAAAATAGAATGAGTAAAATTCCGTTCACTTCCACCGTGAACTCTATGTCTGTTCACACAGAGAATAAACGTATATTACTGCAAATCAAATTTGGACCGTGTTGACATGGAGAATTTAATATAAATATAATCGCCGAACAATTGGTACAAAACAATATTATGAGGAAACATATCAATCAAAATACGATTCAGCGATAGTATAAATATTGTATTTGCAAAGAATTTCCTTAACGACCATAGAAGAACCACGCACGCTAACTCTCGATTCCCGCCTATACATTTTATACCCATGTAATTCAATATAAATGGCAGTTTGACCATTAGAACTTGATTGAATGCAAAGAAGAGTTCATTATTAATTGATTAATAATTTTAAAACCAGTGTCAAAAACTTAATTGCTCTTATTTTCGACTCTTTTCAAAAGGGGGGTTGAAAATTTTATCCATTGAAATCAGGCTTTAAAATCGCTAAATTTTCAAAAATGCATGGAAACGGAAAAACGACCCTTAAAACTTTCCGTATGTTTGTATAAAAAAGATTTATGTAAAATTCAGCATAAAAGATTGATAAAAGACCTTATTTTATTAGTAATCTCCTTTCAAATTGATAATTAAATGACCATTTTTACGGGGGTTTTTTGTCTGTAAACATACCCCCCCTCCCATGAAACAACAAAAGCTTTGGTATGAATTTGTGAAATAACAATTCATAAAACCCATAAAAAGGAATTTTTGTTTCACGGGGGGGGGGGGGAGAGAGAGAGAGAGATGTTTTAAAAATATTTTCCGTTTTCCGTTGATTTCTATTGTGAAAAACGCAATTTTTACCAAAATTAAAGAGTTATCTCTCTTAGTTTTCCCAAATAAATTATGTTATATGAAAATTCACATAAATATCTACATAAATATTAAAAAAATCATTCAAATATGTTAACTTTTGAAATTTGACTTGGAGGTAGGCGGCAGAACAATACTATCGTTCGCAGTTCTTTCAGCATGATGCTTTAAACTAGCAACTTCTTACTTACTGAAGACGGAGTATTTAATATAATATTCTCTTTTATATTAACCTAAATGAGTCTTAATGATACATCTATATGCTAGCAATGGTGCAGAAAGTTTAACAAAGGAATATATAGGAATAAAATTCAATAAATCTTGTTAAATCTTCTCAAGAACAGCGAAGACAAAATTAGTTATATTGATATGGAAGCACCATCAGATCCCGAGGATAAGGTGGGGCCATAATGCGCTATTACAGTTTACCATACTGATAATTAGTGGGAAAAAAATTTAAAAATCTTTTTTCTCAAGAACAGCAGAACAATATTTAGTCAAATTGACTTGGTTAGTAACGTGAGGTAGTGCAGATTCAACTTTGATCAAATTATATGATTACATCCATACATGAATGACACCTGGGGGTAGGGTGGGGTCACAAAAGTGATAGAAATATTACATAGGAATATATAATGGGAAAAAAAATATGCTCATGAAGAACAACAGGGCTATTTTGAGCGTTGTTGCCAATGACCTCTTGTTCTTTTTCGGATATTTAAGTATACAAATATTATTTACTTTCATCTGTAATTGTATAGATACGACACAACCTAAAATGGAAGACAATTTTCAAAATTAAAAATTTCAGAATAAGGCCATCTTTAAAAAATTGTTTGTTTGCCCTCTCCCGACCAACTGGCTAAAAATTGCCCGACTCAAAAACTTTTTTAACATACAGGAAATGATTTTTTTTTTTTCCTTTTTATACCTGAATTTTCTCGATATATGTTGAAATTTTCTAGGAAAAAACTTTTTCTTCCTACCTACCGTCCAAGTTTTTATTTTTACCCCGAGTCAGGAGAGTCCGGCAACGAAACATTGATTTTAAAGATGGCCTAATCGCGCCCATTTCAAATTTCTAGATGGAGAGGATATATGATCAAGCTACTGATATTAGTAATGCATGAAATTTAATCAATTGAAGTGCAACCATCTTACCGTTAGAATTAACAAAACCATATTTGATAAATTACAATAAACTGTTCACAACAAACTAGGAAAGGAATATGAATAACTGAGATTTTTGCTTGAACGCGTCCTTTTCTGCTATATTGTGTTAAAGTCGATATTAACCAGGAAATAAAGGTTTACTTTTTTCTAGTACTTACTAGACAATTGTAAATATTCTAGGAAATAACTCAGAACATGCATTATACACCTGTACCAAAAGCATGCAATATAGACAAGGTAAGAGAAACTATACTTGCATGTTATGTTAATAACAAACCTTGTTAGCAAAATTAAATCACTATATCATGAAAACAAAAATAATGTAAGTGTATGTACATATACATATATATTCACGGAAGCTTTTTTTTGTAAGTTAAAATTCCTTCTTTCATTTTCTGGTAAACAAGTACTGACGTGTATAGTTCACAGAAATATGCGAGATATACTAGTACATGTATATGAATCACATTTGTAGATTCGTTTCTATTTTCAGTGTGCAGTAAATACAAAATAAATAAGCTGCCATGTTGTAAATTCTTTATCTTTTATCAGAATTTACAACATGCTATCCTAGCAGTATAGAAGTGCAAGGCAAAATACACCAGTAAACATATATCTTATGTGATAAAAGTCACTATGGTTAATACATGAAAATCAAAACAACTGCAATTTTAAGGGAAATTTTGATGAACAAAATAAACTTTTTAAGGCTTTAATATTGACGTAGTTTGCTGAGAACTTACAAGTTATCTAATTATCAAAGACATGGTCAGGGTTGGTAAGTTTGGTTGATGATCTACAGGAATAATTTGACATTATAACATTAATAAGCAGAACGATGATCAAATACATTCTCTAGTGCAAATTATTAAAATATCATTATGGAAAAAATATATGTTTTCCTTATTGTTATCCTTATTCCTATGCCAGAAGATATCGAATGAAATTTGTCACTGGTTCAACGTTGACTCAGGACCCCTGACGTTGTGAGGATGACGAATTGTTTGATCATTATCAGTTTCTTCTCATCACAAGGGACACATGCAGGGGATTCTTACTCATCGATGGCACCTGATCCCACATCCGTTTCCAGAATTAAGTGTTTGCTCAGCTGACAGTTTTTATTAATTGGAATTTTGAGCATGATTATTGTCCGTTATCTTCACATTTCATCTAACGGTCATTTAAGCCCAAAGCCTCATCGATTACTGTACATTGACAAATTTCTACTGAATCAGACCATTTTAAAGAAAATGCATATATCTTATATACATGTAGCAAGAATGATTTATTTTGAATGGTACGAAGAAAAATTAGTTAATGCATCACCTTTATTATGTCTATCTTTGCAAAAAAGTG